TCGTAAGTAGTTATAATCCACTTCTGGCCGTCACAACAAACCCCCACCACTGTCCCCTGTGAGTAATGGAGCGCGCAGCGCTCTGACCCCCCGCGCTGCACTATGGCGTCACCCCCTCGCCTATGTGGTCGGCTCTCCCCACCGCCAACCTATGTTGTTGCTCCCCCACCACGCGGGCCTGGTCCTAAGGCCCGAAACTCAGTAGCAGCGGCGTTGTGTGCCCCCAGGGGCCGTATCACGGTCGGTAATTATGCATTGACCGCCGGTCGGTAACTTTTTTTTTAATTATCCTAAGGAGATAAGTGTACCTGTGGTAAAATAGAACACCGTATTTTGTAAAGCCCCTTATGTATATTATAAAGCTGTAGCGCATGATACATTTTCGATTATTACCGTATTGTTGACGCGAATCTGCTTTAAGTCGTAAAAACGTATCCTGATTAATTGGTAAGGCCTGGTCCCCGATTCTACCCGTCCCCCAAGCCGCGTGACATTCTCCGAACAGTGATGTAATCAGGGTTCAGAGCGTCTCTGAAGAATGTCTTTATCTCGGCGAAGTAAAAATCCTTGCAGGTGTACGGCAGCGTCGAATAACAGCGTACAGCGGAATACGCTTAATGCTTTATAAATTAATGAGAACTGTCGATGGGTTGATATCCAACCCCTAATATTTTACTCGGGATGAACCATTCACATACAACGCATCTGCTTCTGGAATGTGGGTGCCCCTCTTTTGCTCAATCTAGCGAACGATGCGCTAATACGGCTGGCGCGAGGGGTACCGCTGTCTTCACCAACCCTATGAATTCCAGGCCCTCGTAACCCCTACCACATGTATCTCTTATTTGCAACTATGCAGAAATGTATGGTCATGGTGGGGGAAAAAGATGGTTACCTGTGAGATGTCTTCGCAGCATCTCGTTAGTACCCTCGTGACAGTTCAGAAGGCTTTTACAAATTTATACAATATATATATACAAATATATACAATATATACAAATACAAATATATATACAAATATATACAGTATTCTATAAAATTGAAGAGATTGGTGACACGCGAAACAACGGTAAGTGTAAAAAAAAATTCTTGTTCCCGCTTTCAACCATCTTTATTTTATCTAATGTTTACCCTGTTTTCTAGGCTAATTCGGGAAAAGAAAAAGAGTGCGGAAAAAAAGGAAATATTAATAAAGTGGTATGCATATCGGTGTTGAACTTGTATACATTGGTGACAGTTCAGAAGGGTTTTACAAATTTATACAATATATATATATACAAATATATACAATATATACAAATACAAATATATACAAATATATACAGTATTATATAAAATTGAAGAGATTGGTGTCACGCGAAACAACGGTAAGTGTAAAAAAAAATTCTTGTTCCCGCTTTCAACCATCTGTATTTTATCTAACGTTTACTCTGTTTTCTAGGCTAATTCGGGAAAAGAAAAAGAGTGCGGAAAAAAAGGAAATATTAATAAAGTGGTATGCATATCGGTGTTGAACTTGTATACATTTAAAGAAAAGTTATTTTGTATCTGACATCTTTGCACATTTATTTCTAGATATTACAAAAAAAAGGACGCACTGCACCAGGCCCCGTCAGCCTACAACCTAGTGTCACCCGAGCTGTAAGTGTAATAATTTTGAACCTGCACAGATTTTTATTTGAATAAAAAAAAAACATTGTATTTATCCGACACCTTGTACGCTTATTTGTAGACGCAACAAGGACGCACAGCGCTATCCGGTAGGATTATCAACTATATATATATGTATATATATACAGGGTGAGGCGCGAGAAACAGAACACCTAAATAACTTTATTGGATTTAAAGATACGGAGTTCGCAAATATCGGAATTTAAATGATTCGGAAGGGCGCCCATGGTTATCATAATATTTTTTTTATTTCATTTTTTACCAGTTTTTTCAAGGTTATCAGAGTTTTTTTAAATGGAATGGCACATTTTTTCTCCTTGCACATTGTAGCCGGCATCGAAACGAATCCAACCATGTAACATAGTATGACCTTCAAAATGACCTCCAACCCAGAAATATGAAATTAAAACTAATTCGACGTGTTAGAGATTTGGCTTTATTTCTGTTACGCTAAATGTTCAAAATTACTCCCTTGCACGGCGATACATTTGTGAAACCGTGTAGTAACAGAATTTACTACTCTGTAGTTAATTTCTAATTTCGAAGTCTATCATGAACGACCAACCACTGCAGAGAACATGAAAGAAA